GCTGGAACACTGTGCAAGCCCACACATCTTCAGGGAGCTCAGGCTTGTCAACACACAGATGTTTCCTCCCCAGGATCCTTCTTTGAAGGAGAATGGGGATTTCCTGCAGTTTGAAAATGGGAAGTCATTTTCCTCTATTGAGCAAGGCAGAATTTGCCTCAGGGTCAAGTCATCATGGATTGAACTGATGTGTGTCATTCCCTGTTGCCTCACTTTGCTGCATAAAACCCTTTTTGGCTTTTTTTCCACCACTGGGAGGGCATCACAATGCCAAGGGCTATTCCAAAGGAACAGAATGAGTTGGGCTGCTGCTAACTTGATCAAGAAGACCAAGAAAGAAAAGAAAAACAGTCAAAAAGTCAGAAGAGTGGGAAGGAATGGGAGAGGCACCCACCACCTCCCTACTGGCTGTGCTGCCCTGTTCTGAGCTGGCCCAGCCAGCCAGAAAGTGTCAGGGCTCCAACAGGCAGGCCCTGGCTGCTGCTGCTCTTCACGTGAAGCATCCAGGATGCCTGACCCAGTTGTCCTCGTCAGATGAGCTTCCAGACCAGCAGTGTGTAGCAGCACACAGATGAAACAGTATTTCCTGGTCAGGGTTCTGGTGCTGTGAGGTGGCTCTCTGGCCCACACAGGTTGTCTTCTTCTTGACATCCCTGTCCCAGTGCCCCTGGATGCAGGGGAAGAAGCACAGAGAATGGTTAGGTTTGTCTGCTCTGACCTAAACAGCAAATCCCTCTGCCTCTTGGCAGTGCTGCTGTCCTGGATTAGAGGAGTTAACCCCATAGATCTGTTCTTATTCCACATGCTGCCTTTGCCATCTCTCTATCACGTGGTTGGGTGCTGAAGAGCTCCAGTGCCCTTTCTGCATTTGCTGCTCATTTCTGTTTTCTCTCTTCTGTGCATTTATCAGGAGAATTCCATCCCTGTGTTCCTGCAGGCAGCAGACAAAAACCATCCCTTGTCACATAGAACAAGACCTGTTGGGTGGCTGGCTTTTGTATGTTACCCTGCTACATGGAATTCTGATCCTAGGAAATCTCGTGGGAGAGAAGTTCTTGCGCTGTTGGATTTTAATGTTTTGTGAGACCCTTTGATCCCTTTTCCAGGCATCAGATACAGATGGAGGAGGATTTCACTGGGGTCACACGTTCACTGCTCACATTGTTCAGGTTTCCTGTTTCCTCGACCATGTGTTGCACACATCCTTTCTGGGTCCAGATTTGCCTGTCCACCACCACGGTGACAGCAGCTGGTGACACTTCCAGCAGTGACAGTCAGGGGAGTGGCCTGAACATTTCTGAACTGGAAGGCGCTGTGGGAGTCAGAAGGTTTAGAAAGTGGAAGGGACTGCAAGCCCACCCAGCCTGAGCTGAGGCAGGGGTGTCAGGGTCCTGGCTTTTTCTCTTTATTGGAATAGAGAACTTCTAGAAAGAGGCACTTAATCTTGATGGAGGAACCACAAGAAGTGCACAGCTCCCTGGTAAGCCTTGATACTTATTCTCATGATTGGCAGCTTCTTTTCAAGCTGAGCTTTTCTTCAACTTCCAGTCCCTGCCTGATGCTCTCTCTTTGCTGGTTTGCAATGCTCTCTGCTGATAGGAAACCTCCTTTCCATGCAGATGTCCTCTGCTGTAATTTACTGTTCTCAGAAATTATGCTGGCAATAATTCTCCTAAAGCAGGAACAAGAAATCAAAGTAACAGTCCAGTCTTGCTGATCTAAGGAAAGGGTGCATCTACACAATGGATACCTCTCAGCACTTTCCTTGTTCCATGTGTCTGGGAGCAGGGAAAGTGCCCTGCTGAGAGCTGGGTTTGGGAGAGCTCTGAAGCCCATCTGTGGGTGCTGTGCCAGATGTAGAGCTGTGCCAGATGTGGAACTGTGCCCTCTTGGAACCCTATCTGCCAGTGGCTTCTGCTCCCTGTGCCCTGTCCTTGCTGTGTCCCAGCAGCAGGATTGCCTGTCATCACAAGCCACAGGAACCAAAACCTCTCCCACATAGGTGTGCAAACATGGCCTTGGTTTAACTGTGCTGGTGCAAGAAGAAGGGACTGCAGATGGCCTGGCTGGGACAGGGTTGTGTCTGCCGAGGAAAACTGAGCATGAAAATCTCTCCTTTTCCTCAGATCTCCTGTTTTGGCAGAAAAGGGACAATGTGCTACCCACGATGGCCTCTCTGGTACTCTCATTTCTGAAAGGATGGCTTCCTGAATGTGCCTAAGCTATGAGGTACTTCATCTATGGTGCATTATAATGCCCAGGCCCATGTGCCTCTATCCCAGAGCTCATCATCCCACACTATCTATGCCAGAGCATCCTGTGCTCCTACATGATGAGAACAGGGCTAGTAGTGATATGGCAAGGAGGAATGGCTTCAAACTGAGAGAGAGTAGATTGAGATTAAGACATTAAGAAGAGATTCTTCTTAATGTGGGGCTGGTGAGGCTGTGGCACAGGCTTCCCAGAGGAGCTGTGGCTGCCCCTAGATCCCTTCAAGTGTCCAAGGCCAGGCTGAATGGGGCTTGGAGCAACCTGGGATAGTGGGAGGTGTCCCTGCCCATGGCAGGAGGAATGAATGAGATAAGCTTTGAGGTCCCTTCCAACCCAAACCAGTTGGTGATTCTGTGATTCTGTGAGGGCAGGTACTGGGGAAACCTGTATGAAGTCAAGTTTTGTTTCTTCTTCTGTTCCTCCCCTACACCATTTTCCATTTCTCTTTTCCCCTAAAGCTGCTGTAGGAGCCGGAGTCCAAGTGTTGTTGGGAGGGGATTGCACTGGGACTGGTTAGGGGCTCTAACACAGAAGTGGTGCCAGCATTCAGTGGATCTTCCTCTGCAGTCTCCTTGGGGGGATAAGTCCTGCCTAACAGTGAGCTGAGACACATTCCTGTCTAAAACAAAGGGAAGAGATCCACACATACTCCCTGCTGTCTTGGTTTCAGCTGAGATACAGTTAGTTTTCTTCCTAGTAGCTGGTACAGTGCGAAGTTTGGATTCAGTATGAGAATACTGGATATTGATTAACACCCTGATGTCTTAGCTGGTGCTCGGCAGTGCTCACTCTAAATGGAGGACTCATCTGTGTCCTGTGCTGTGCCAGCAAGGAGCTGCAGAAGGAACCAGGAGGGAGCAAGGCCAGGACAGCTGATCCACACTGTCCAAAAGGATATTCCACACCACAGATATTCCACTCATGCCAGTGTATAAACTGGGGGAGTAAGCTAGGAGGGGCCAAATGCTGCTCAGGGAAGGGCTGGGTATGGGTGTTCAATTGTACTGTGCATCACTTGTCTTTCTTGGGTGTTATTCCTCTCTCTTTTTGTTTCCTCCTGTTTCTTTGTTATTATCATCATTATCATTATTATTATCATTATCTTTTACTTTATTTCAGTGATTAAACTGTTCTTCTCTCATGAATTTCACTTTTTTTTCTCATTCTCCTCCCTATCTCAGGGGTGGGAGGCAGGGAGTGGGTGGCTGTGTGGTGCTGAGTTGCTGGATGGAGTTAACCCACAGTACGCTCACATAAAAGCAGACTGTTTCCCCATTGTTTCCAAGAACTTCAGCATTTGGCATTGCATTGCATTGCCATTTGCATTGGCAGTGCTGATATTTCCTCTTGACTGTCATGGATAGAGAGCACTGTGCTCAAAGCACTTCTCTATTGGTGCAAAATCAGAAGCAAAGTTAGAAATATTAGTGACCACAAAATAGAATTAGCAACTGTAAATCATAATGCTTGTATGCTTTTTGAAGTGATTCACATTTTGGCACAGACTACAGATGAAACACTGGGTTAATTTTGCTTTTTATACTGTTTCCATCCAATATTTGCTGGTGTTAACTGTATAGCATCCAGATCTGTCACTGGGCATAACCTTTGTTTAAGAATGCATCCATGGCACTCACCTGTGAAAGTCCACTCACCTGCAGTCCAGCAGAGAGACGTGAAGCAACACTGAAAATGTGATTGAAAGAATGTTGGGGCAATTCAGAGCTTCCCTTAAGGAAGCTGGTAACGTCTGTCCTTGCAGGGCACTGGTGCTGGCTGTGCAAAGTGGAGGAATACCATGGGCCCCTAAAGTCATCTGAGCTTAGCAGTGACCTGCTTGGCACATGGAGTCAGTGTAGGATTGTATTAAGAAGTAGGGGTAGTGGGAATGGAGGGAATTCAGTTCCAGGAGGGAAAGAAGGTGTTAGGTACAGAAACGGTGAGTGTGCAGCAAAAACGTGTGAAATCTGGACCTTCTGAGACATCAGCCAGGGCTGGGTTACCCCAGATTCCTCTTTAGGAGGTTCCCATGCACAGCAGAGATAGTCTGGTGTATCTTTTGTTATTTTCAAGGCCAGATATCAGTGAATGGGATATGAGGGAACCCACTTGCTGCAGTATTCTTCCAGAGCTGGTCCACTCCCACACTGCAGAGTTTACTCTTCTTCAGTGCCCTTTGGCAAACAATAACAGGGCACCATTAATCCCGTGGTGGAGGAGCTGTCCCAGGATTTGTTCCAGTACTCTGTGGTATCAGGAGCTTACAGGGAGAGAAGCTGGTTTTGTGGGTTGGGTGATGGTGCTCCTGTAAAATAAATTGTGACAGCACCTCCATGATCAGTGCTTTGACCCACTGGTATATCCATGGGAAGATAAAGGAGGGCCAGATGTTTGCCTGTCTTTCTCAGACACTTGATGATTTCATGCTTTGCATTTTACTACTCAGCCAGAGTCATTTTCTTGGACAGCTCCTCGTGCTCTTGGGACATTAAATCAGAGGGGTTGATTTTTGTCCCAAAGGGTGATTCCTTCAAGGCAATGTTGCTTCATGCTCTGGATGAAACTAGCACAGATGAAAAGAGAAATGGAGTGAAATACTTTGGTTATACTGGAATCTCTAGAAAGCCAAACCACATCATTTCTTTCCAGCTATGTGTCTGGTTAGACTTTAGATAATCTAGATATTGACTTAACAGGTTGGTTTTTTTTGGTTTTTTTTTTCTTTTCAGCAGAAACCCCGAAAGGCAGCTCCTCAGCCAGGAGAAGACACCATGAACGGCCACCTTCCCCCCGGCTGGCAGAGCTACATGTCTCCCCAGGGTCGCAGGTACTACGTGAACACCTTCACAAATGGTAAGTGGGGGTGGCTTTCCAGGAAATGTTTCACCATACCAGCAGAGATCTGTTTCAGAAATCATCTTGCTAGTTGATTTGGATAACAAAAGTGCCTGTAGAGCCAAAGAAATTAATATGATCCTTGCACCATATGAAAGAAAATACAAGAAGATTATTATTCTCTGTCATCTTAATTCTGACCATCAGAAGACATCTGAGATGTTGACAAAAGACAGAGAATGTAAAGCAGAAATGTCCCTGTCATTGATGTTTTAGAATCTGAAACACTGTTAAAGATAAAACTTTGACCACATTCCCTATTTCCTTTACCTGGAGATATTTATGTCTATATTTTTTACCACATTCCCTATTTCCTTTACCTGGAGATATTTATGTCTATATATACACATACCTGTAAATAGTTCGATAGAACATCAGATATCAGTAAAACACCTTTGGGGAAAACAGAAACAGTGAATTGGTCAGACTCAGTTTGCCTTGGAGACAAGGAAAGAAAAACACATGTAATGGGACAACACAGACAAAGCTTTCAGTCTGTATTTGTGTGCTCTATTCACTGTCATGTTGAGAAGCAGACTTAACTCACGATCTTATCACCTGCTCAAGACCTGTCAAACTTGTACCACCTCCAGTTTACCTGAGACTCTGTGTCAACCTGCTTTTCTCATCATGAGCTCACAGCAGCATTGCAAAACAGGGTCTTGTGACCAGAAAATCCGCATTTCTGTAGCAAAAAAGAATGCCAGAGTGACTTGAAGGAGAGGACAAGTGGAACTAACCTTGCTCACAGGGAAGTTGCAGCCATCAGGAGTGACCTCTGGCATTCCTTTATTACACTCACAAAGGAGAGCCATGGGCACCTCATGGTCTGCTCAGGGGCTGATGTGTTTTATTTCAGAAGCTTTTGGCCCAGAGCTTTGCCAAGTCATTATTTACTGGAGTTTGATGCACTCACATCTTACAGGACGTTCCCTCCAGAAGATGCATTTCCATTTAAGCCTGCCTCCATTTTCAAGCACAGTTTGCTCTGGCTGGTGGGCAGCATCCCCTGCACAGCTGGGGAGATCAGCAGGAGTTAGATACCCCATCCCCACTGCTGCTCAGATGTAGGGGAAGAGGTGATTATGCTCAGTTGTGAACCATCACTGTGATGGACCCATACTCACTGGGCTGAGCCCAGGTAAAAGGCAGAGCCTGTTTCTTTTGTGATAAGAGCTCTTGTCACAGGGACTCTGCCTCAGAAACGTGGGGGACGGGGACTAAATTTCTCCCTAATGTCAGGCAGTTTTGTATTTCCCTCACAAAAATTACAAGTAATATAACAAGGGCCAATTGCCATATCCTGTTTGGGAGCTCAGGCCAGAAATCAGAGATTTCTGATTCCTCTAGGAAGGGAGGATAACTTTGGCACAGGCTGACCAGGGAGGCGGGGGAATCTCCGTCCTTGGAAAATCTCAGAAACTGGCTGGACAGAGCTGTGGCTGATCTGTTGTTAGCAGTGATCCTGCTCAGAATAGCTGGGCTGAGGACTTCCAGAGGTCACTTCCAACCAGTCTAGTCCAAACCACCTATGGTGTTTATGTAAGAGGATAGAAGTGGGGTTTCTGTGTTCTGAGCCTTGCTTTAGGGATCACTTATTCAAGTTCTGTTTAGATAAGAGTGTTTTCACCATCCTAAGCCCTGTTGGCTTTGAAGTCAGACTTGCTCTTTTTCCTATGCTGGACTCAAGAACCCTGCATTTCTGAGCCTCCCATTGTTCCATAAGGGCTGTGTGACAGCAGGAATCTCCTGCAGCATGTGCAGGGGCACTGACTACCCTCCAGCTTAGTAGGTGTTCCTGGCAAGCTCAGTTTAGCTAACCTGCTACAGTTAGAATATGCTGCTGCCTCAAAGTGTTCCAGCTGCATAGAGACTGCAGCTGGGTGATACTGCTTGAGAGTGTTTTTGCTCTGGTTGGGCTATACTGCATGATCAGACTCAGACCTCAAATGACTGTTCTTCCTCAGAGTGGATTAAGTGCCACAAAAGTGTCACCTGTAGTGTCATCTCGGCTTCAGACAATGCAGAATGCAACCTCCAGGCCTTTTGGCTGAAGTGTGTGGTGAAGCCTTTCCCAGGCCTGGCATGAGCAGCTGTCTGGACACTATTTTGATTTAATCTGACTAATTAGCTTTGACCTCTGATCCCACAAAAACCTGTGGTTCAGGAGTATCCATAGGCTCATGATGGTCAAATTTGGTGTTGCTACACTTTCTTCTTTGACTGCTGGACCTGCTGAGCCATGCAGTCACCATAAAGTCACATTTGGCATGTGAGACTTGCTCCTAACAGTGGGACTGCATTTTGACACTTAGAATGTATTCTCTGGGTTTCAGCCATAGGATAAGTCAAAGACAATATGCTAGAAGCCTTAAACCTGCAGGACCCATCTTTCCTGTGGCAGAGCTGCATTGGCATGGGTGATGTTTATGGCCAGTCTCACAGACTGGACAGCTCACTGCTGACTTGTCTGAACTGCTTATTTGTCCTGTCACTGCTGCAGCTGCTGCTGGGAGTACCAAGATAAACACTGGCAATGTTTGTCACGAGGACATGGTGCTGGCACACATCTCTGTCACAGGGCTTTGTGGGCCTCTTTGCACCATCGTTTCAGCAGCAGGAGCCAGGTCTCTTCTCCATCAAGGTGCACATGTACTTCTAGGCTGCTCTCATTTACCATTCACCAGACAATGAAAGTACCCTGAAGCATTGGAGAGAGGTGTCACTGTTTAGTGCACGCACATGGGAGCTCAGGGGTCAGTGGAAGACAGCTGGCTGACCCTCAGTACCTTCACAGATCACTCCAGCCTTCATTGAACTATGTGATTAAAGATCTGCTAATCATCGTTACCCACCAACAGCAGCTGATGCAGAACTCTTGGTGTGTAACATCACATCCACTTCTCAGATATCCCAGGCACCAGGGGAAAGGAAAGGAAAAGGAAAAGGAAAAGGAAAAGGAAAAGGAGGAAAGGAAAGACTCCTCTCCATGGCATCCAGCAGGATCCTTAACTCTCCTCAGCTGGAGCCCTCACAGCAGTTCCTTGGAGCTCAGCCTTGCCCATGTGCTGTGTGCACGCAGGGAATCATGTCCAGCTGCTTCCATCCAAGGGTGCTCCATCCATGGATGCAGCTGCTGAGTCCCTGATGACAGCATCCTGCTGCAGGGCACCTCTGATCCCACTTTTCCAGAGTCCAGAGGATACAGACCTGCCACTAAATGCAGTTAATTGTTGGAGTGCTCCACTCTGGCTTTTCCTTCAGGGCTGGTGTTAGGCAGCAAATGTAGCACTGCATTTTATGTTGAACAGCTCCTTCTGAGCTCTTTTGGAGCCTGGGGCACACAGATCTATGCTCCTTTCTTTTTGCACATGTCCCTGAAGCATTGCTGTCATGCAGCCTCCCTTTGGTTGCCCTTTCCATCGCAGGTTTCTCATGCGTGAGGTGGAAGAGAGTCACACAGCAGCATGGTGAGCATGCTGTGGGAGCTCCAGGCATTGGGTTCACTGTCTGTTCATGTAAATGTTGTATTTGGGCAGTCTCAGAGTGGCATGTCCCTCACTGCAGGACTCCAGCTGTCCTGGGTGTCCACCATTTGCCTTGCCAGTCAGTGGGAGACATATCCCAGGGCAGAGAGAGGGGATTCATCCAGCTCAGGGCTGTGGCTGAGCCCTGGGTCAGGTACAGAGCATCCTTCTGCCCCACTCTGGGGCCTTGCTGGCACCCACTGCCTTTCTGAGGGGGAATGCTATCAACAACAGCCTTTCTTGGCAAGTCTGTGGCACTTTCTGCACTTCCATCACTGAAAAGCTCCATTGAGAGAAGGTGTGGGACTGTGGCTAAACATTTACCCAGCATCTAGGCAGGGTCTGTGGGTAGGGGACGCAGTTCATTGATGGGAAAACAGGTCTTAAAAGCAACAAAGGCAGTTTGAAAGCTGACTAAAGGGAAAACAAGGTGGGGACCATGATTAAATTACAATAAGCTGCTGCAAAACTGTTTTCCAGCTCATCCTCAGAGCATGGTAATCAATGGTCCCTTGTCCAAGGGAGGTTTGTACTGAAGGGAATCCTGCAGTGATCTGCCCAGGGATCCATTCTAGGCAGTATTTCCAGTGATGAATGGCATGTTGACATTGAGAGCACTTATTCAAACAATAACTTTTAATTGGAGCTGGAAGAGAACACGGTGTTCCCTCCTGCACAGAACAGGCTCAGAATTCACAATCACCCTGGAATAGGAGGATGCTGTTCAGTAAAGATGCATTTAAGATCAGAGATTTCATCAGAAATAATTAAATGGCAAAAGACAGGCAATGGAACAGTTTACAGATGAAGACATTGGGGCTCTGGAGGATCTGAAGTTGAGTGAGAGCCAGCAGTGTTGTGCTAGAACAAGCCAGCCAGCATTTTCCATTGTATAAATAGGAGTGTTGTCTGTGAGGCATGAAGTAAGCGTCCAACTTTACAAGGAAATTATAAAGTCTCAGCTGGAATATTTTATCTTGTTTGGACGCTACACTTCAGGAAATATGTGAGTCAGTTGGATAAAGCCCAGAAGAGAGTAGGAAAAATGATGGAAGATGTGGAAAACCTAGCCTGTGGGTAAATGCTGGGAGATTGGGGGTGTCTGCCCTTAGAAAGCAAAGATATGGGCAGGGTCATGAAAGTAGGCTTAAAGTGCATAAAATGCCATTAGGGAGAAGACTGTTTGCAATGCCTGTCATCACTAGAAGATTTCAATATCAATTTCAATTTTCATCACTAGAACACATTTCAGTTGCAACCAGGACAGCTAACCCTTCCAACCCTCTCTTGGAAGTGAAGTGTGGGAGTACAGTACAGCCTGGGAGTCTGTATCACCAGAGCAGGTTATGCAAAAGCATGAAAATTCACTTTGGCCTCACTCTGGGGTAGAGCAGGGACAGTATAACTTCCTGAAATCCCTGTCAGGCCTGT